TATTTTTTTAAATTATTTTATTTAAATGTTTTTATTTTTTTTTATAATTCGTTTATTTTTTTATTTTTAATTTGTTTTAGTTTATTTTATTTTATTTAATTATTTATTTTAATAGGCAAATCGTAAGTCACCTGAGGGTGTGGCAACTTAGTGAAGTGGTGAAGTTGTCACACCCCCAAGTGGCAAGAACAGAGTTCGAATCCCACCAACAACAAAAATTTGAATTCTTAGTACAGTGTTATGGCAACTGTGAGTGTAAAGGCTGATCGACATCTGTAACTAGGTCACACTAGCTCATACTGGAAGACTATAGAACAATAGTGTAATGTACGAGTTACACAAAACCTGAGTGAAGCAATCATGTAAATCTGAGGTCGGCGTACATAGAAGCCCGCTTAGCAAGACCCGAGTAGAAAGGTAGCACAGATCTTCGATGGTACTACATAAAGGATTATTATTCAGAAATCGGAGAAACGAACAGGACTGAAGTATTTGGTAAGGCACTCCACTAACCAGGCCGCCGGAGAGTACCGGAGGAAAAGGACCCAACTATAGAGATCAGGAGCAGGTTACAGCCCTTCCGGGCTATTTGGATTGGAAGTTTGGGATAATGGGTATATGTCGAATAGTCTGTATAGTAGGTGCTGGGGTCTGGGTGAATTTTATAAGGGCATAGTAGATAACGGTAGCGGCTTCAGCTCGTAAGTACTTGGTCTCGGCCTAGGTGTAAGTTACCGAAATAGACTAGGTAATACGGTATAGTAGGACCAGAATGCTCTAGCAGGTGATGCACTTGAGGATGAATCGGTTAACCATGCCAGTAGTCCTATAGGTAGCGTGCAATGATCTTAGAACTTAGACTGACTTATATATTGCATGTTCTGGGTGAGATTAGATGGATTGGCAGGGAAATTTGGATCAGAGGATTTAATTGGGTAACTCAAGTAATAGTAGATTATAGGTACGGCATCTAGTGTAGAACCTAGTAAGGTAGATACTTAATTAGGCGCTCAAAAGGCGCAGATATGGCTAGTATGTATCCTCGTCAGAATGTACTTGTCTGGGGTCCTCTTGAAAAGGACACCACATGATCCTAGTATCTAATAAAAGCAGAAAGCCAAAGAGGCTAACCTTGGCTACAAAAAAAAAAATCGTAAGTCACCTAAACAAATATATTTTTTTTTATATATAAATTTTACTATAAGCCTAAATATGCAGTGCTTCTATCTAAAACTTTTTTTACTAAGTAAATTACTCTTGGTTTTGCAACAAAAGTTGTAGAGCTCATCAAAATGCATTTAATAGTGGAAAACCATTGAAATTGGTTTGGTGGTTTTTGAGAAATCTTTAAAAAACTTTTTTTGACCTGTAGGTTGATAGCGCAGTGATTAGTGCTTCTAGGTCACAATTGCAAGGTTACGAGTTCGAGTTTCACTGGATGATGAACGGCTCTGCCAGGACCACGATTAACTAAGATCTTTAGAGAATTTTCCATTAAAAATAAAGAACAAGACTCGTATAAGTTGCAGTTCGCCGGTATAGCCACAAGGCCGAAGATGATCAGATAAGGTATAATCTGTCAATAAACGAGCTAAAATTGAGAAAAACACAGTTTAAGGATATATAAAAAGGACGATCTAGCTTGTGGGTCATGTGAAGTTAGAGAACTGCAGATCAAAAGAATATAGATCCTACACTGTGGCACCAGGGTCCTGAGACATCATATGACATACTTAACAAAGCATAAGTTATCTCACCAGTACGGTGACATATAGGTGGCTAATTTGCTATACCAGTGATCTCTACAGATATGAAAACTCTGGCCTTTGAGAGATGTGAGAAATCCGAAAGTGTCTAAGAACCTTTAAAATGCGAAAGGAGGTAAAAAAAAAAAAAAACTTTTTTTTCATATATAAAATTTTTTTAAAAAAAATTGATTTTTTTTAAAGAAATTTTATATATGAAAAAAGTTTTTTAAAGATTTCTCAAGAACCACCAAGCCAATTTTAATGTTCTTTTACTATTAGATGCATTTTGATGAGCTTTACAACTTTTGTTACAAAACCAAGAATGATTTACTTAGTAAAAAAAGTTTTAGATAGAAGCACTGCATATTTAGGCTTATAGTAAAATTTACATATAAAAAAAATATATTTATTTAGATAACTCGCGATTTGCCTATTAAATTATTATTTTTTTTATTATTAATATATGTATGTATATAAGTACATACTAGAGTACAGTCGTCCTCCTCTACAGTCACCTCCTATATAGTCACACCCTCTTTATAAGCACTATTTTTTGAAAAATTGTTGGTAATTTACTTATTAATAAAAACTTTATATAATCACAATACTATTAAAATTTTATAATCACATCTTTTTTATGTAAAACAAACTGCGTGATTATAGAGGAGAATGACTGTAACAAAGTAGTTAAAAAAAAAGCCCTCTTTAAAATCGAATAAAGAAACACTCAGAAGCTCTTTTTAATAGTTTTTCTTGAATCTTATATAATAAGCTTTATTTTTTATTTATTTTAAATTATTTATATTATTATAAATTATTTTCTCTATATTTTATAATTATTTTTCTTATATTTATATAAATCTTTCTATACTATCTAATACTACACTAATCCTAACCCAAACCCTAAACCATGCAAGTACCTCTTAATAATTATGCAATCTAATTTATATAACAAATACAGAAATAAATCAGTACAAATTAAACAATAAAACAGAAGCCAAGTTCAAAAACAAGTATTTTCTCTTATTCTTTCTTTTTTTTTCTCAAGTTGAACTAACCTTTCTTTTTTTTTGTAGGTTCTGATTTCTGAATTAACACTAGGGTCAAAAAAGTATATGAAAAAAAGCAGCATGAGCAATGAAAAAAGGCAGTATAAATGATAAAAAGAGGCAGCACGAATGATAAAAAGAGACAACAATGATGCTAGTGACGAAAAGAGATACTAGTAAATAATAACTCCAGCAACAAAAAGAGGCACAAGTTTTGAAGTAAAGGATGGCACAAAAAAAGTTGTATATATATAATCTGTGTAACTGAGAAGAGGATTTGTTTCTGATCTTAATCAGGGGTAATTGGAGACCAAGTTTTTACGTGACTTGAAAAATCTTACCTATATTTTGTATCTGTCGCTCTAGCAGGTAGAGACTTTGAAAATGAATTAGTTAACCAAACTGGTAGTCTTATAGGTAGTTCGCAAACGATTCTGGAACTTGAACTAACTAATATACTGCAGGTTTTGGATAAGGTTAGATAGATTGGTATAGGAAACTCAAATTAGAAGATTTAATTGAATAATCCAAATAATAGGTGTATTATAGATATGACATCTAGTATAAACCTAGTAATAGACAAACTACTTAAATTAGATGTTTAAAAGGCATAAGTATAGCTAGAATGTATCCTTGTCAGAATGTACTTGTCTAAGACCCCTTTGAAAAAAGCACCACATGATTCTATAATCTAATAAAAGTGATAAGCCGAAGAGGCTAACCTTGACTACAAAAAAAAAAAAAAAAAAAAGATTTTACTTATATTATTTTAGCTTTTTAGTATTTTGAATTTGAAAATTTAATTAAAGTTTTATTGTTAAGGGTTAATTTTGATAACTATAGTTATAATGGTCTGTAATATATACTGTAGTAAGTTTATATAATTTAGAGAATTTAAATAGTCTGAGTTGCTGTATATTATTGCTTAGCCAATTAAATAGCAAAATCATCACGTAATTTCCGAGGCTGTTATAGATAGATATGTAACATTCTATTACAAATAGATTTATTCTAGTAAAAAAATCCTTTTTATAACGATATAAAATTTTACTCCTATTTTATCTATACAGTCAATTCTCCACAAGTGCTCCTTTTTTAGTATATTGCATTTAGAGTAATTATTATCATGCGTTATAATTAGATCTCTCTATAAGTGCACATTTTCTAGATGGAAAGCTCACTTTCTATAACTTGCCTATAATATTTCTTGATATCTTCCGAACTTTTCCAAAATTTTTCGACGTTGCTAATTATATTACCTGGCCCAAATTAAACATACACTGCTCTTAATTTTGCCCAAAAATTCATTGCTTTCAAAATTTCATTTTATATCGTTTTGTACTAAAAATTACGGTTTATTCATATCTATTAAGGGTCTGCAACCCAGGCACGTGCCTGTGCCCAACAAAAGGTCTGGGCATGAACATAGGCACGAAACCTCAGGCATGGGTATGGGCATAGGCATGAAAGCTCAGGCATGAGCATGAACATGGGCATAAAAAATTGGCATAGGCATAGGCACGGCACAAAAAACTTGGCATGGGAACAGGCACAGAAATTTAGTATTTATTATTTACTTATGCCTGGCACTTTGCCCAGCACCTATGCCCGGCACCTTGTGCCTAGTACTTTGTGCCCATGCCTTTGCTAGTGCCTGGCACTTTGTGCCCATGCCTTTAATGGTGCCCGGCACTTTGTGCCCATGCCTACAATAGTGCCTGGCATTTTATGCCTATAGGCATAGGCATGGCATGAGGCACCTAGTGCCTGGCATAAGCCCATATGGGTTATGGACTAGGAAAACCACCGTCTGAAGGAGGGTTTCCATTTTGAGAAAATGGCTATTATTTGTCTGTGTAACCTAAATTTTACCCCTGAATTTTTTGTTTATTTTTAGATATCAATTACTGAATAAACAATGTCATGTGATTACAAAACACTGATTGACCAATCTAATTTCATTGAGCCGTCAATCTTTGGCTGTCAATCTATTTTTAGAACACGAACGTTAAAAAATTGGATTGTATTCAGGTTAAAATATCTTGACAAATTATTATATTAACATAGGGTAAAAAGCGAAATACATATAGATATCGACCGGCACTTTAATTTGAATCAAAAATCTCGAAATTGATAAAAAAGTGTCAGACGGTGGTTTTCCTAGTCCATGACCCATATGCCCAGCATGGGCATTTGCAGACCCCTAATATCTATATATTTCCGTGTCCCTGGTGTCCCGCGATCCTGGGATAGTTGTCATGGGTTCGACAATCACGTGAACGGAAAATCGATCCTCTCAATCTCCCCAACTTAAAACCCATCTCTTCTTACTTTTAAAATTCATCTCTTTATAAATAACTTATAGTCATATGATTTGACTCACATTAAATATCTATCATAACTACGTCATAAATTTAGGGTAGTGTACGTATTACATATTAGCCAAGCAAAGAAAATAATAATATCAAATTAGTAAGAAAAAAAGGGGTTTATTCAGTGTTAAATTTTTGTTGTTTTCTGTGTAATAATAATAGATTTTCAGAGGTTATATATTCAACCGTTTTGACCCGGTTGAACCGTTTTGACACGGGTGACCGGTTTACTATAACCCGGTTCTAAACTCTATCCCATAAGTTGTGAATTATCCTTCGGAGGATATTTGGTCTGACAAAATGTCATTAATCTCTTTATTGACTGGATCCATTTACGCGTTGTTTCATCGTTAAGCACATGTGCAACTTGTGCTGAAAAAATCTTTTCACGTGCGGAACGTTCGTGAATACTATTTTGAATAAATAGTTGATCAATGACAACAAAATGATAATAAAATGTTGTATAACAGCACAAGCGTAATAATACTTACCCAACCATAGTAACACCTAATTTTAAATAGTATAATGTTGATAAATGTTTCTCAAGTAGATAAATCTTAATAATAGCATATTCAATGATACTTACCAATGGGCCAGGGTGCGTTCCCAATAGACAATCGCAAATATGCATCATTTGCATTCATATACTCTCGTTTTTGCATATAATGTGTGATTTCTGTTATTCGTGCCAGTACGTCTGGCTCAATTGCCTAATAAAATTCATACGTTTTAAATAGTTATATATCTTCTAATTTTCATTTCTTAGTAATAATGTTTCCTACCTTTTTTTTTAGAGTTCTAAAGAATGGTTGCATATATTCATTTGTTTGCTTTTGAGTAGCTGCTGCAAATTTTCCTTGTGTACTTCTCTTTACATGATCTGGTCGATTATTCATTTCTTGTTCCCATTCTCTTAACAAACGCTACATATAATGTGAATTGTAAATAAACACTTATGTATACAGATATTATTACCATATACAATACACACCTTGAAGAAAGTGTATATAAGGATATAAAGTTTATCAGGATCTTTTTCAATGAGATCAACTTCGATTGGTGTGTTATCCAAAGGCAAATCTTCTACAACTCTCTTCTTTTTTGAAGATCGACTAATCTCTTCCTCAGGTTGTTTCTTCAAAACTTCCAAATCCAAACCAGTTTCCATTTCTTCTAAAGTTTTCATGAAATCATTACGTTGTCCCTCTGACCTTTCCTCTATAAGTTCAAGTGCTCGTAATCGAGTTTTCCTATCTTTGTCTGATTCCCCAAAAAGGCGAATTGGTTGTCCTTTTGCTCTTAATCGGCGAATCACTTCTTCTTGTGAAATATTAAATGTATCGCTACCATCATTCTGAAATAATTTTTTAGTAATCGAAGCTTTATAAAAGTGTTAAATAATATTAAAGTTATTACCTCTTCCTTCTGTACTTCCTTATTAGGTGTGTCTTGTTCTGCCTTTTCTTGTTCATTAGGTGAAGCAAGCTAATAAGCACAAAAGTAGAGTTTTGCCTTGTCAGCTTCTAACTATATCAGTTCAAACCGAAAAATCATAATTCTAAGCATAAAGCATACTGTCTGGTCTTTTAATTTACGTTTTTCCTATAAAGAAGAATTTGGTCAGATGGATTTTCTTTTTTTTTTACTAAAAAGATCTGTTGAAATAAATAATGCATAACATAAAAAAAAAAGACCGTTTTACTTACCTCACGCTTTCGCTCTAATTCTTCTTGAATTTTTAAGTAGTCTTGTTCCCTTTGTTTTTCCAATTCTGCGCGACTAATGTACTTCTTTTTTTTGGATCCTTGATTTCCATTTTCTAAAGCTTTTCGTTTCTTTTCGATTTCAATTTTTAGACTGTCCATGTTATCATTATCAGTTTATAAAAGTTTATATTTATCGGGGTCCGCTAAAGCGGGGTAACTATTAAATTGACGGTCCTGGGGGTAGTGCAGATCAACTGACAGCCAATCGAAACCATCAATTAGCCAACAAGTTTTTTTTAACTTTAACCGAAGCTAGCATAATACCTACCACAAAAAATTTAATATAAATTTATTTATTCGAATTCTACAGACTCGTTGAATTCAGATAAAAAATTTTTATCGAATTTGGACGGGTGGTTGTCCAGATTATAGATGCTGGTGAAACTGGTGAAACTGGTGAAATTTAATATAACAGCAGATTTTAGATAGTCACCAGTTTCACCAGCTTTATTTAGTTTCACCAGTATCTATAGTTCAGATTAGTGCTTGGATCCAGTGGATATCCGACTACATACCATTTTCCTACCTATATATATAGTTATAAATACATAATTAGCAAAAATAAATTTATTACAGTCAACCCCTCTATAGTCACCTTCTATATAGTCACAAAATTAGTACAGTCATCCCCCTCTATAGTCACAAAATTAGTATAATTAAAATTTATTTTTACCAATTATTTATAACTATATAGCTGATAGAAAATACCTCTATATTAGTTGCACCTCTTTAAAATCACGGTTTTTGTATCCCGAAGGTGTGACTATAGAGGGGCTTAACTGTAGAAAATACCTCTAAATTAGTCGCATCTCTTTAAAATCACGGTTTTTTGTATCCCGAAGGAAATTTTATTTACAAACCATAAAATTTTAATAAAAATTAATTATAATTTTAAAAATTTTTATCAATAATATACTTTTATTATCTATATCTAAAATTGGGATCTATAATACAATAGATATGCTTTTAATTTACCACAAAGAACAATAGTTTGAGTTTAACTAAAATCAAAAAATATTTTATAATCTAAAAAAATCAATAATTAAATGAAAAAATACTATAAAACAAGTTATAATAAATATAAGTTGGGATCAAAAAGAGATCAACCTGTAGAGTGTAGACACTACTGCATACATGTTGAGTAAAGCAGTAAATTCGTGAAAAAGAATTGATCTTACCAAATACTATCACTATAAGAAAATAAAGTTCCGATCGCAGATCATATGAAATTTTATTACGTACGTACAAGATTTACACAAAATTGTTTTTGATTGACGATAGTTTGGATGGTTCTACCACAAGATCCCGACATCCAAAATCTCGAAACCATAATCCCGGCGTGACAATTAACATTTAAAGATTAGTAATCACATTAACAATCATTGTCAGACTTTAAATTTTAATTGTCACGTCGCGTGATGTCAGTATTATGGCTTGTCGAGATTTTGGATGTCAGGATTTTGTGGTAGAACCATTTGGGGTTACAATCGATTTATATTTGATTTAAAAGTAGTTAAACGGTTTAATATCCCTAGACTAGATTACAATGTTTTTACAAAACAAAAGACAGCTTAAATTGCCGAGTTTAATATTCAACATCGGGGATTCTTTGACAGTTTATCGTTATAAAGTAAGGTATATAAGATTTTTTTTGGTACTGTACGTATCAAGTTTTGCCAATTCGTATCCGTGGCTGCCAATCCATTTTTGTAATGCGAAACGTTACGTATTATGCAGAACATATCGTGTAACATTCCGGTCTATCATCCAATCACAGAGAAAGCCCGTGATGCTAACATTTATTAGGGACCGGCACTTTTTTCGCAATGATAAATTGAATGTCATTATAATCTGAAAAATTTTACGATTCACCCTATAAAGCTTTGAAACTTTGAAACTTTGAAACCTTTTGCTAAAGATGCCACGACATAGTAAAAACAATACGGCACTTTCGTTTTTTACGTATGCCGAAGGCAAGGCCTTAAAATATGGTACAAAAAAGGTACGATTACGATCTAAAATAAATCGTAACTTCCGATCTTTATAAATTTATACGTCTTTTTTCTAGCAAAGACTAGGCCGAGATTCCATGAGAGAATTTGATGCATGCTATCTTTGTCTTCAAAGAGCCCGTGATCCTATATGTTGTGAGCAAGGTCATCTATATTGTAAAGAGTGTATACTAGAAAATCTTTTAGCTCAAAAAAGAGAAATCCGACGCCAACAAAATTTATTGGAAGCAAGAGCAAAAGATGAAATTGAGGAATCTAAAAGAAAAGAACAATTGGCAAAAGAGGCGGTGATTCATGATTTTGAGAGGCAACAGGTTAGAATCGCACCATTAGGAACAAAAATGGAGGAATCAATGAAAACATCAAACAAATCGACAAAAACAACAGATAATTCTACAAAAACAAATGATAATGGTAAAACACCCAACTCTACAAAAAGTGTCAAAGCTATAGAATATGGCGAAACATTGCAAGGTAAAAATTATTATCCGAAGAATCCATTGTGCAGGTTGTACTATTATGTCACTATTTCCTTAAACATATAGATAACCAAAAGAGTTTGTAACAGTAGCCGGAAAAAAACGAGACTTTCGTCTCGATGAAGACGAAGTCGAAGCAATAGCTTTACGTGAACAACAAGAAGCAATGAAGAGATTAGATGAGGAACAGGTATTTAGATTAATAGAGATTTATAATTTGGTTTAATTCGATTATTAACATTACTTTTTCTGGCATAGGCAGCTGCATCTAAACCAAAATTACCTAACTTCTGGTTGGTACGTGTCACATAATTATATATTATTTTTACAAAAATTATAATTTTGAGTATCAGCATTTAATAATAAAATATATATATGCATTTTCGTTATATCTTTAGCCGTCACTTACCCCATCTGCGGATCCTGATAAAATCAAATCGGTGAAATTACAGACAATGTGTACTGCTACTGATCCTGAACATCCTTTTGGGTATATATATATATATATTTACTATATTACAATTGTATATTTTTATTTTTAATGCTTATAACTAATCTCTTGGTATTATATAGTGTGAAAAATTTCATACCGACAAAGTTTACTGAAGACGTAGATCCCAATACTAAAAAAACAAGCTTTGTTTGTCCTTCATGTCGTAAAACCTTAACAAACTCTGTTAAAATTTGTTGTACGTAATAAATTAATTCATTTTAATCAGGATATTCATGTTAACTGTGGTTCTAACATGTTCGAATTTTCATGTTTTAAGTGGCGAAACGCTGTGGGCATGTTATTTGTAAAATTTGTGTTGAAAAATTTGTTAAAAATTCCAAGCAATGTTTTGTTTGCGGTGAAAAATGTCGAAGCAAAGATATTGTTGATATGTCGGGCGAAGGTAAACATTCATTTAATTCTGTAAATTTTTTTGCAAAATTAATTTTTGGTATTCATCATTTATTATATATCAGGTACTGGATTCGCGAGTGGTGGTGGTCCGGTAATGGCAGAACGTTTTGATGTTTCGTTTCAATGAAGTTACTGTTGATTCTACCTATAGATTCTATTCTAGTTATATTATTACAATAAATTTGATAGTGATAATATACAGATGGTTGATTCAAAGCTTTGTGTAATTAATTCTGCTACACAAAGTTGGTAATATGGTTCTTTGTCAAATTCTCATATGTGCATTAATTCATGTAATTTACCGATTTATGACAAAGAAGGCAGTTAGTCTAGTCTAATCAGTCTAGTTTAACCAGTGGCATTAAAATATTTATATTGATTTAAATTTAAGATTATAAATGCAAAAAAACAACCAATCGTATATGTTAGTGCTCAGAAGTCTTTAAGTGATTACAGTGGATCAGTATCGGTATGGTATGGGTGAGCAGATCAGTATGGAATAAACACCATACCATACTGATATAACCCTAACGCTAATTTATATCACAATCAGATCGGATAAAATTCGGCTTGTACCATACTGATCTGCGAAACTCCTGAGTCTTACGAATTGATATTCCATCTTTTACGTATTAGTGTAAAAAAAAAAATCTTGTAAAATAAACCACAGTAACACATGCGATTATTTATTTAACATATATAGTGTGCATATTATACTAGGTGCATCTTTGGTTTCAAGTATAGTGCAATTAATAATTTTTATAAATCCTGGAGAGCTGCACTTAGAGTCGTCTGTATCACAAAATGCATGTATTTAACAATAGTTAAGATATAATTGGGGGTTAAAGAAAAGAGCACTGAATATTTAAAATATATAAAAAAAATTTTGATTTTTTTTATGTATGTATCTTTGAAAATATCGATACATATATATATATGATATTATTTAATATATATACATATAAAAAGTATTTTTACACAGTAAATAATATGTACAAAAACATTTTTAGCTTAGAAGATAATTCCAATTAATTTTTTAAGAATGACAATGTAAATTATTACCGTTGACTATTCAATATTTCACGTGATTTTGGATTAAATTCCAACATCTACAGTTTTTTAAAAAGATCGAATTAAAAAAATTTTTTTTTATTTGTTTGAATGAATAAATGAAAAAAAATAGATAAATCCAAAATTTTTTGTTAGCAACAAGTCTGTATATATGTTCCGGCATCATTTTTACCATTCGTTCACCATCATAAAACATGCACAAATATCCTAGAAATTTTAAATGGTTTAATAATAAAAGGAATAAATTGGTTTAATAATAAAAGGAATAAATAAATAATGTGAATAAATACGGTTTTAAAAAAAAAATAATATGAAATCAAGAGAATTTTTTTTTTTTAATCATGCCTTATAAAAGTAAAAAGAAAATTCAATTTTTTTTTTGATGAGGCAAAAAACCTCTATGTATAATTCTAAAACAAAAGTTACAAATAATACATAAATACAAGAAAAAAAATATTAAAACAAATTAAAAGCAAGGTGAAAAATCAATAATAATATTCTAAAAAGAATTAGAAGCAAAAAAAAATTTAATGAATGAAGCAAAATAATTAAATAGAAAGAAGGAATAAATTTATATATAATTTCTGTATGAATTAATATAGACCCGCGTTTCTGTGTAACGTAACAATCTGCATTGTTAATTTTTTTTTTCTTACATGTTTAGCTAATATACTTTTTTTCTTTTTAGATAAACGGTTATTTTTTTGATTTATTTTCCAGTTTATTTTATCGTTGGTGTTGTTCCGTGGATCCATCATTTTGGTGATTTTGGTGCTGTTCGTGGTCCTGTTGCCATATCGTTGTTGTTAAGTGGTTTCGCCAATGTAATTTTGTCGCTGGCAATGGTTTCGTGGTTTCACGATTGCTGACTTCAATTGAAGTGCTTTGTAGCTTTCTTATTTCATTGTGGGCCTCTGTTTTTGGACTTGTCAGCTCTTTGTCAGTGTGGTTTACGGCTTCTTTGTTTGTGAGGTGGTTATTCGCCTGCTAGTGAATTATTCGTTGGCGTTGTTTGTGGCTTCGTGTTTCTGGTGATATGTTTGTTTTTTTTTGTTTTTGCTTTTGTTGAATATCAGATATAAGTTTAACTAACAGTACTTATTTTTAAGTAAGCGCTGTTAATTCGTCATTAGTATGCGGTGTTTTTATTTCATCATTAAAAAAGCTTCGCTTTGTTATCTGTTATCGTTGGTTACATTAGAAAAGTTTGTATTATTTTTAGCTATTATGCTGTTGTTACATTAGGTTAGTATAGCGAAAGTTAGGATAGATTGGGTTAGTTTGACGTCGCTTTCGTTGTTGTGTCATGATTACTTTAGGGTTAGTATAGCGAAGTTAGTCGCCATTTTTGTTATTGTGTCATTGGTTACAGTAGGCCATTTTTCTACATGATATACTGTTGAAAATCTACATTTACCAACTTTTCTGAATTCATCGTGATATCTCTCATCGCCCAATATTTCTTTCAAGTTACTAAAATTGTTTGATTCGTCCCCTATTTATATAAATTAATAAACTTGTGCCAAATATATCCGTCGTGCCGTGGTTACATTGCAATCAAAGACTTAAAAAAACAACTGATGCAACAACTATTTCTATGAGAGATCCCATAAACAATCTAGCAGGGTTGTATTCAAGATCTTATCTAATTCTAAGGATAATTTTCAAGATTTCTTAAAAGAAATTAATTATTTGTTATACGGTTTATTAAACGCATATTTAACTGAATATGTTCGTGATTCCATAATTTGGCCTAGCATTGTGAAAAAATTTTTATACAGTTAAAGCAATTCCAGTTCTTAAAAAGTATTTCATTTAGAATTAAATTAAGAACTGGATTTATGGTTAGGAATTGGTTTTTAGGATCGGGTTTAGTGTTAGAATTAAAAATAAGATCGAGGTTTAGTTAAAGGCGAATTAGAATTAAGTATGTTAAACATGTATATTAAATAATGTAATAAATAAATAAATAAAATTTTATTGTAATAAATATGATATTATATCAATTTGCAGTATATTATTACCATAATACATATCTATCACGTGACGCGGGTACATAATCCCTTTATGTATATATAAAAGAAATGTCCAAACCCAAAACTTTTGAACCCAAAAAAATATAAAAATCAATTACGAATCGTCTTCTTTTTTCGACCTCCTTTTTTCCCATGGGCCATTTTCGCGAGACCCTTTACCTGAGCATCAAACTTACTAAGGTCTTCTTCATATAGTTCCAATTCTTTTTTCATAGACTTTGCCATTCTGAAGTCAGGTGTATGTTTAATTAGATAATAGAACTCCACGACCTCAGCAGTAGTTTTATGTACTTTTTTACCAATTAAAGCAAAATCTTTTCCATGTTCTAAATAAGAAGCGAGGAAAATTTTATGTTGATAAGAAGACCAAGTGGATAATATGGCTGTTTTTGAAGGAGGAACAGGAAAATTGGGATTTTTGGAAGGAATAGAATTATAACCACCACAACCAATAACTCCATGTGCGTTAGTTAATGGGATACGTCTCGGTTTAGTATAAGGTGCATCAAGAGCATCAGGTATTGGCGCAGCACGCTCACGATAATACAGTTCTTTTTCATCATCTTCAGAAATTGCTGATTTATGCTTTCTTAGACGCGTAGCCGGTCCGGACAACCGTCGTTTACCCAGTATTTGATCTTTAGATCGATTACTTGGTTTTGGTTTTCTAGAAGAACGACGAGGACTCGCAGGACAAGGACTTGACGGCGGACTAGAGCCGACGCTACTGGCAACCGAAAAAACAGGAGAAGGATGATGATGAAATTTTCTCGCAACTATAGCCAAAGATGCAAGAGTTGATATTGCATCTTGTTCATTAGAACCGATATCATCTTCAGCAGAACTATATGAAGCCGGACTTGATGAAAACTCACTAGGAGAAATAGGTCTTTGAGGTGAAAATTGAGCACTAAAAACGACGCGTGGTAGAGATCGTGAAGAACTAGAACTAGAAATATTATCTAAATTATTATTTCTAACATCTAAGAAATTTGGGTCTTTTCGCGTTTCCAATGATTTAGAAAGACTAGAAATTTTATTATTTTTATATAAAGGAATAGTAAAAGGGAAAGGATTTTTTTGGATTTGAGGAATCGAAAACATATGTGTAAACTGAGAGAGTTGAGCTGAAGTCATTCAGATTTTTTTTTTTTTTTTTTTTTTTTATAAAACCTTACAATAATAAGAAAAAAGTTTTTTTTTTTTTTTTAGTAATAAGAATAAAAAAAAAAAAAAAGGCACACGAAAGATAAATTAAGATACACGTGTTATTGTAAGTGTCTAAGTCGAACAATCAATGATAACGTGGCGTCCCCTATAATTAGAACGATTAGGATCGAAAAATAATCTCTAGTAATAAAAAAAAGTCGTGAAACAGCCGCACCTCCTTCAAACGCAATAAAAAAATAAAGAAGAAATTTTTTTTAAGAGTCAGTATAAGTTAATAAAATAAATAAGTAAGTTGGCGTCGTGATGGAACAAATATGTATAGTTTTTATAACAATATAATAATAGACAAGGAGTGAAGATTAAAAGAGAATTGATGATGAGTGAAGAAAGAACATGTCTAACAAGAGATCTTTCGAGAACGCAGGCTCACTAAAAGAAAAGCATTCGAAGAAAGAAAATAAGAGGAAAAGATTAGAAGTCCGCGTTGGTAGAAGGGACGAACACAGGGGACGACAGTTAAGAATAGAAAACACGCGATAGTTGACAAAGTGACGCGAAAATAAGACAAATAGAATGGAAAAGATATAAAAACAAAAAGGTGGAAGCGTTGTCGGAGGGGCGGTTATTCAAAGAATAGCGGTATTTTGAGTGGGGAGGTTAGAGCAGAACAAAAAACAGGGTGTTTATTGTAGTCTTGTACCATACCATAAATATCACCAAAGGTTCACGAATGAGTCTATTTGGCAAACCCAGAATAAAGCCAATACCAGTCCGATGTTACACATAGTCCGATAGTATAAATCATCGAACAGATGTTCAAATACAGCAACCCCATTATCGATATATCGATATATATTATTTTTTTTAATATTCCATATATTTCCAAATATTGTCCATTATGATGGGTTTCATAACGGATTATTCCTAATAAATTTTCTGCATGCAATTTTCTTTGCCCGATCCATTTCATTGTGGCATTGAAGTAAAATAAAAAAAGACGTGAGACTTAATAAGAAAGAAGAGAAAGAGAAGATTAATAAAATGCACAAGGAAAAATAAGGAAATATCGAACAATATTAAAATTATTAAAAGAAATTTAAAGTAATTATTAATGTTAGAAATGCTCTTTTAAAAGCGAGACTGAGCGCGAACAACAAGACCGAAATTTTAGGGTATGAAAGAATCCGGATATAGAAAGATTTTCTAACCAAACAATTTCTATAAGATATTATAAATCATACATAATGATATTATAATAATAAAATAATGTTATATAATATAATAATGATAACGATAAATATAATATATTATTATTATTATTAAATATAATGTAAAAAGTTCAAACTAACCTATTGCATGGTTAAAACAGTAGTACATAAATTAATACTCCGATAAATAGCGAAACAATAACCATTTTACGCGTAAACCTGTTACGGAGTTGATACGATAACCGAACTGTTCCTAACAACTGCTGCATGGTTATGATATCATTAAAAACGCCAAGTGCACAAACAAAGCGCAGTTAGCTTACGATGATTCGTGGTCCCACTGCATGTGGAAGTCATCTCACTAGTCTACCAGTCACATTAGTCACACTTGTCCGTGTGACTGGAAAGAATACCGCGCGACTTTGTCATGAGACTTCATATGAATAATCATGGCGATTATAGTAAATATATCGATATCAATATATTGTATGGTCGCGGGAATAAATAATTTTCGGACATTTATTTTTGGCAATTAATGACTAGAATAAATTTATACGTATCTTACTGCAGCCGGAAAATTGGAAGATTGTATGATTCGGTTGTGTTGCGAGAAAAATTAATATCTATGTAACACGAGAATATTAATAAAGGAAGATTTCTAACAAGCCACACATGCATTTACAATTCCGTTCGTTTCACCATCGTGTTTCATATTAACGTCTCCCCAATAAATTATCTGTTCTCTGAAATCTCTTGATTTGCATATGCAACCTGTTGATTAATGTGATTATCTGTTACCAAATCAATTCTTCTTATTGGTAATACTTGTATCTTCTGAAAAAATTTTTGAGAAATCTTTTGATTCTAAGAATGTCTAAATGTTTCTACTTGTATATCGACCATTCTTAAGATCTAATCTTTTCTCCATATCCAATAATCTTCGTCCTCGATTTCTTTCTAAAGGTCTTTTCTAAACATTTCTCTATATTATTCTCGTGTTCTATCTTATTTATTTTATTTGTTTACAGATGTGGATGGCTCCCTTCTTTCACGTTTGAAATTCGATGTGAAGGATGCGATGAAAAACAAAGATCAATTAAAATTGAATGTCGTTCGTGTAATTATACTTTTATTTTTATTTTATTTTGTTGCTCTTCGTTCTGGCTCTTTTATAATCCTTCCTTACAGGGTCTTCTCTCGGATATCACTTATGCAAGCAAATCGTCAACTTCTAAACCTTTTTTGGCTTCTGACAATGAGATTTATGAAATCATCAGTCGTGCAATTAAACGTCGTCAAGAATCTATTGATCAATTTTCTCGGGCTAATCGTTTAGATCTAGTAGAGAATGAATCTTCTGAACTACTTCTTTTGAATTCTTATTTACCTCAACAAATGACTGTTCAAGAAATTGAACTTGAAGTTGTAAAAGTTATTGATCAATTTGATCCAGGTGATGTTGGAATTAAGGATTTGGGAAAAATATTAAAGAAATTGAATCTTGATAATGCTAGAGCTCCAAAAAAAACCGTAGTTGAAGTTGTAAAAAAAGTCTTATCATCACGAAAGACTGGTTAGCAACAAAATATATTAAAAATATTGTTCCACCAATCATTTCAATGATATATCATTGATTAACTACGTACGTTACCTATATTTATTTAAATATACCCAATTACGTATACCTGTTATATATCTTTAATTGCTTTAATCAAACAATTTGAGTCGAATTTTAATCGTGTAACCTAATTGCGTTTTTTAATATTATTGTTTGCACTTTATAAACAATTTGCATCGTTCTAAATACTATAGTTTAAAACGTTATCTGCTATGTACCACCAATTATTGTTAATTCAAATTTGATAAAGTTTAATATGTTGTATGTAGTTCAATATTATATATATTTTTATAGCTATTTATAGTAAAAATTTTAACCAATTTGATTAGTAGTTGTTAAAAAATAAAATATAAATTGATATAAATTATAATTAATTTTAATGCATTGCCAGGGTGTAGGTTAAGAAATCAACCAATCATATTATAAAAATGCAAATCACGATTATCCGGGGTGCACTTTATTGATTGCAAAAAAAAACCAAAAAAAAACCAAAAATTTCTTCAAAAAAAAAGCCATCAAAAATTTTAATTTACGAGAATTCTTCAAATAATATTACTAAAAGTTCTAAAAAAGGTCTATATAAATTTTTAAAAAAAAAATATTACCAAAAGTTTTAAAAAAAGTTTACAAAAATGCTTCAAAAAATATCAGAAGTTTTAATAAAAAAGTTTAAAAGAATTTTTTAAAAAAATATTGAAAGTTTTAATAAAAGTTTATAAAAAAAAATTTTTAAAAAATTTACAAAAAGTTTTAAAAGTTTATAAAAAATATTAAAAAAAGTTTACAAAAATTTTTTAAAAAATATTAAAAGTTTTAAAAAAATTTACAAAAAATTTTTTAAAAAGCACTTAAGTTTATAAAAATTTTTAAAAATTTTTAAAAAAATATCAAAAGTTTTAAAAAAATTTATAAAAATTCTTTAAGAATTAAATATTTTATAGGTTTTTTCTCAGGACTTCTGTAACAAATAGAATATAACAAATCAACTAACTTTCTCTAACAATCACTTAGACCAATTATTCTTAATCAACTCAAGTTGAAAAATTTGAAGCTTAATGCCTAAAACTATTTGTTTCTTCTTTTAGTCATTGTTAATGAAGCCTCTAATGTAATATATCGAGAAGCAAGCATTAGAGAAACAGTTTTTAAACTGTATCAAGCCTTTTTCTTCTCTTTAGTAAATTCTCTCTTATATTCAATATCTAAGTCAGAGGATTTATTTTGGTAACAATTAAATAAAAAAGTAACTCTGAATAGTAAGAAGAAGAATAAAAAACAACCTAAAAAGCATTTATTATAGCTGAACCTTATAAAACCTCTATATTCTCTCACCACTTTTTTTTTTTATAATTTTTAGTTCTTGGTACAGGTTAAAGCAGTGTTGTCACAGGACAGTTGTGGACAGTAATTTTGAACACTTTAGTCAATTTTAGACAATTAAATAAATTAAAATTATTTAAAATTTTATTAAAATAAATTATATTTTTCTAAGTAAAATATGTTTAGCATCTAAAAAAATATATAATTATATATTTATTAAACAAATTTAATAATTATTAAAGCTTA